CCCCTTGGCGGTTTATATGAGATACTACCGCCATGTTGTCTGTCCTGACAATCACATGACACCCCTCGAGAGAGGGGAGAAAGTGTATAAGTGCCAGAAAGGCGGCTCTCAGCTGCAGGCTGTTTATGTGCCAGGAGAGAAACTCTTCCGGCCAAACTCTGCACACTGGCCCGCCCTCAAAGACCGTGCCCCAGCCCGTCAGAGAGGCATCCATCGTAACCATTTGGCGACAGTGAACAGCGCCCATACTGACCCCTCTCTGAAGAAAGAGGGGCTCCCGCCACATTGAAAGTGCACGAAAGCAACTGTGCAACATTCTTACTTGGCGAGAGGCTGGTCCTGTCGAGCGGATCCCTATGAGTTTCATCCACCAAAGGAACGGCCTCATATGAAGCAGCCCCAGGGGCAGCACAGGGGAGGCTGCGGCCATGAGGCCCAAGAGCCTGCGACAAGTGTTTACAGAAACATAGTGGCCTAGCTTGAAGCGGGCCATGCATGCATTTAGGCTGGAAATCCGGGCAGAAGCCAAACGGGCCTGCATCTGAACGGAATCCAAGTGAACCCCCAAGAAAACAGTCTGTTGAGAGGGGGTGAGAACACTCTTCTTGGCGTTCATTCTGAGGCCAAGAGACCGCATGTGGCGAAGGAGGACATCCATGTGGTGACTCACTAATTCCCTGGAGTTGGCCAAAATGAGCCAATCGTCCAGGTAATTGAGTATACGGATGCCCTGGAGCCTCAATGGGGCCAGAGCAGCATCCATGCACTTTGTGAATGTCCTTGGTGCCAAGGCTAGGCCAAAGGGAAGAACCTTGTATTGGTAAGCCTTTCCCCCAAAGGCGAACCTGAGGAACTTCCTTTTCTGCCGAATGACCTGAATATGGAAATAGGCATCCTTCAGGTCGACGGTGACAAACCAGTTTCCCACTCGAATCTGAGACATAATAGCCTTCAGTGTAAGCATTTTGAACTTCCATTTGTAAAGGGAGAAATTCAGTGGGCGAAGGTCTAGAATAGGACGTAGGCCGCCGTCCTTCTTTGGGATGAGAAAATAGAGACTGAAAAAGCCGTGTTCCACTTCCGCTGGCGGAACCTCCTCTATCGCCCCCTTGAGGAGAAGGGAAGATAGTTCCTGCTGTAGCACAGAAGCCTCTGAGGCGCTGCCCACTACAGTCAGGTGAACCCCATCGAAGCGAGGGGGGTTGCGACCGAATTGAAGTGTGTAATCGAACTGAACTGTGTGGAAAACCCAGGGCGATCCCCCTGGTAGATGCTTCTGTTCGTGAAAGAACTGCGATAGAGGAATGAATGAATGAATGATGCATTTATATAGCGCTTTATTGTTGTATTGTATACATGTATTGTTGTACACCTAAAGCTCTTTACAATCATGTGGGGGGGGGGTGGACCCT